GGTGGGTGGGAGGATGCGGGCAGGGGGTGTGGGGCGAGGGGTGCAACGAGTGCGGGCGGGGCGCCGGGGTGCGACCGCTGGAGCAAACGGGCGGTCGCGGGAGCAGCTGGCCTCCCGCGTTGAGGCCTGCACGGTGGTCTGCGGCCTGCAAGGCATGCGATTCGAAATGAGAACCGATTGCTCGTAGCGACTGCGCAGCTGCCCACCCGCAGGGCTGTTGCGGAAGACCTCTTCCTCGAGGTCAGACCCAGCTTGATGCAGCACCAAAACTTGAAATATGAAGCCGATGCCGAGGGGCAAATACAAGTGGCAGGTGAGGAGGCGCCAGATCTACGCGGGGTGCCGGCGCGGTAGGCGTGGGAAGGGGAGCGGGCTAAGGGGCCGAGCGGCGGAGGTCGAGGCGGCCGATGCGCAATGGCCGCGCGTTGCCTATTTGCTGTCCGCTGCTGCGCTGAGCCCTGGAAGCGATACCGCCATGCGTGCCTTCTTGTCTGTCAGAGCAGGCCCCTTGCCGCCGCCGTCCACCTGCATGCAGATAGCCAGCCGCATGCGCGCCCTGGCCTAACAATGTCGTAAGCACTCGCCTGGCCCTGCATCACCCCCGGCCACAAGAGCGCCAGGTCGTAGGGACTGACCGCTTCTAGATACTCTACCACAGCCACTGCCCCCACCGCGGCCAAATAAGCGCGCGTGATGGGCGGCGTGTCAGCGACGAGCTCCGCCAACATGCCGCCGCCGCCGCCGCCGCCGCGGCGCGCCATCGGGCGGGGCTCGCACTTCGTGGAGGATCTTAGTCTCCTGTGCCGTGCCTAAGCGTGGGCGTTGAGATTATAATATCTTCTCAGCAGTTGCAAAAAAGTCCGCCACCTCCTTTTCAGAGCACCAGATCCTTGGCACGAAGATCAGGTGGACATTCGGGATTTGCCGGACACACAAATGAGATTGGCGAAGGAATGAGCGACTTGTACGTCTAGGCACATTGTCGATTTTCGAGGGAAGAAGTGGCGCGCACGCTTCGCCGAAGTACTGGAGCGGCAGGCGCACGCACAACTTACTTGTTCACGCAGGTGTCACGTCGATTGATTAGGTTGCCGCAATCAGGATTGAAGCCGGCTGGCTTGTGTCGCCAGTCCGTCGCTTGACATATTTTGACTGTCGATGTGTCTGAAGAACGACTGCTGGCTGACAATGATGCGTTTTGGAGCCCGCTCATTGGCCTGCAAGCACGCGCAGCATGCCGTGGATTGAGCCATTATGCATGATCACAGGTGGCTGTCGCGGTAGCGCGCCTACTGCGCAAGCGAATGTGTGCAGACATATCAGGGGGGTGGCAACATGCCTGCCCATGTGGCATTTGCCTCATCATGCTGCAGAGTGCCGAAGTCTTTGGGGCCCAGCTAACGCGTGCGTTTATGCGGCTGTGATGCACATGAGCTCCTAGATGGTGATGAGATTTATCCTTTGGGCCCTCAGGGGTGTTGGCAGAGGTGCAGCAGTGCGCTCATGATCTGCTGTTGACCAGCCACCACGCGCAGTTGACTTTCGCGGAGGTGCGGTGTGCCATTCACCAAGTCTGTATGTGCGTAAGGTTGACGTCCTCTGTGATTACAGGCTAGACCTATCAGCCAAATGTGAGCGACAACAACTGGCGAGTGAGCGGCAGGTCTCTAGTGGAACGCACCAGCCTGGACCGTGCTGCTTCAACGTGCTGCTCTCGCTATTCGCCACGGGATATGGAAGCCATACCGTGTAGCACCGCGAGCCAACTGCGAAATGATAGGCTGTCATTCTGTATCTGACGTGTAGCAATATGATGAGCCTCGTTGCCACGATTTTATGACTGTTGGACCTTACAGATCATCATAGAGGGTAGCATCCCCGCATGCAGTCGCGTTGCGTCAAAAGGTTATATAGTATTAATTAAATAGGTATGGCTGGCGCGGATGCGGTCGGAGGAAGTAGCACTAGTCTTTTGGATGCTTATCTCAGCCAGGCGCCTTCGCGAGCCGAGGCCTCACGCTTGCAACATGAGGCTGGACCCGCCGCTGCCAGTCGCGAGCAGAGCCCCCGACGAGACGTGCCACATGCATATGCCACTGCGAGCAGCAGCGCGCCGACCGCCGCCCCGCCCCGGTCAACAATGCCGCGCGCGACCGCGCCGCCGGCCCCCAACTCGGCGTTCACGCCCTTGCGCAACGCCCTGAACGATCTCGTGGCGTCCCACGCCGCCGAGGCCGCAGAGGCCGTTGCCGCCGCAACGGCCGCGCCGCAGGGGCCGCGCGGCATGCCCTCGCCCGGGCCCGCGCGCGCCTCGCCGCCGCCGCCCCCGCGGGACCGCCGCCAGCAGTGGCCCACGCTCGGCATCTTCCGCGAGATGCGCCTCGCGGACGAGCGCGCCTACCTGGCGCCTGACGGCCCCGGCGACGCCGGCGGCGCGCAGGCGGCCGCGCACCACTACACACCCTACGACGGCGCCGCCGGCGACGCCCGCAACCTCGCCGCGCGCGCCGCGCTGGACGCGCGGTTCAGAGGGGCCGCGGCGGCGCTGGAGGCGCGCAGCTACAGGCGGGAGCTGCTAGAAGGCCTGCGGGCGGCCTCCCAGCGGCCGCCCGCGCTCAGCTGCGGCGTCGCCGCCGACCTATCGGCGCACGCAGGCACGGGCGCGGGAAGTGTCGCCGGGCGGGGCGAGCCGCGGCTGCTCGGCCGCGGCGGCGGCGGCAGCGCGGCGGCGACGCGAGGCGAGAGCCCCGCGCCACTCTCCGATGCCGGCGGCCGCCATTTTAACCATCATCCTCACCATCACCAGTTTTATCATCATCATCAGCAGCAGCAGCAGCAGCAGCAGCAGCAGCAGCAGCAGCGGCGAGAGTGGGAGGGCGAGCAGCACTGGGGCGACGAGCAGCGCCGCGTGCCGCCGGCGGACGGAGCGCTCCAGGAGTACAGCCGCTGGGACGAGCGCTTGATACGGCCGGCCACGGTGCCCGCCCCCCTGCATCACCTGCGAGGCCTGCTGAACGGCGAGCCCCTCGCGGCCCACGGGGGCGCCAGCCTCAGCTGCGGCGGCGGCGCGTCCGTCCGCGGCAGCGGGGCGTTCTCAGAGCGCTGCTGGGCCCCGCCACCGCAGCAGCAGCAGCAGCAGCAGCAGTGGCAGGCGGAGGGGCGGGCAAGCACGTGGCGGCGGCCGCCGAGCGCCAGCCTGGGTGCGGCCCCTTCAGCGGGACGTCCATCGGCGGCGGCGGGCGGCGGCTGGGCGGGCGAGGCGGTGGATAGCAGCATTGACGAGCTGCGGCGGTACCGCAGCCGCTTCGCCGAGCGGCAGGAGCAGCAGGAGCGGTCCTCCCTGGAGGCGCTGCAGCGGCGCCAGCGGCGGCGGTACGACCTGCTGCGTGGCGTCGCGGCAGGGTCCGACGCGGGGGACGAGGCCGATGCGCTCGGCAGAGCAGCTGCGGAGGCGGCTGCGGCCAGGACGTCCGGCGGCGCGGCGGCGGGCGCGGGGGCGGGGACGCGGCGCGGCGACGGCTGTGACCGCCACGCCAGGCCGAGGAGCGG